CAGACTGCTGTCCGTTCAAAGCGTGTTTCCGAAGATTTGCTCATCCAAGCACTGCCACAGATGCCTTATGCTACCCAAAATGCTCTCATGAACTACGCTGTACGCTACAGTTGCACCAAGATCATCGATTTTGTCTTTAATGACGAACGATTCAAGCTCTCCAACACTCAACGACACAAGTTGCTCATCTCAACGAGTGACCAAGTGTTGTTGCAAAAACTGCAAGTGATGGTGTATGAGAACTTGGATTGGCGACGTTTGGCACTCCATCGATCGCAGTTGTTGCAGCAATTCTTTGAATCTGAACTCCAAAAGGCCGAGATCTTTGCTCGCTTCTCTATCTGGACAAATATCGAAAAGTTCATGAACTACACACCAGATAGACTCTCCTGTGAGTGGGCTTTGCGCCTGTTTTTCAAGTTTCCACCAGTCACTCTGCTTCCAGGTACATGATTTGATCTCAGGAAAGAATGTGCTGAATTCAACAACCATGAAAGACGATGATGAGCGATTGACATTGATGAGAGAAGATCTGGCAACAAGATGGTGCACAAGAATCAAGAGCAAGGCCTTTTGGAACGAGTTGTTTGACAAAGAGCCTGGTTTGCTCTTTAGAAACGTCATGCTCGAGATCCTCAACTGCCTTTCCCATCTGAACCCAAGAGACGTGAAGAATCTGGTCGATCATGTCTGCAGACAAACATTTGCCAATATCACGGATCTTGCCATGCAGAGCTCTCTCAACTACGAGCATTCCCATCACGCAGAGCCTCAGAACAAACTCAGATACCCAACAGATGTCCTGACAAGAATTCAAAATTTCGATCTTTCGATCGAACAGTCGATTCAAGTCCAACAGCAAAATGTGCGTCATCTGGAAGGAAATCTGTCCAGATTGCTTGTGCTCTTGCAAACAGATCCAAATGGCACGCTGATCTACCAATCTGTCTCGAGCATGTCTCTTGTTGAATCAGTGCTTGTCAAGCACTATTTGAGTGAGTTCCAATACATCTTTGAACATGGAATCTCCAAGATCAAACGCAAATTGGAGTTTATTGTTGGGTCGTGGGACGTCAACTCCTTTTCTCAGCCTGCATCTTTGCTCAAAGGCTATGAGCACATGATGAATCTCTGGCACAAAGCCATGGAGAGATTATTGCATCTCAATCTGCATCCCAAGATTCAAGCCCAGTATCGCTACTTGGAGAAGACACTGATCCCACTCTTCACAATGCCACTATCAATCCTGGACAATATCAAGAATGTCATTGAATTTCAGTTTGGACTCGATATCAGACCATTTCATGACTTTTTGCAAGAAATGCCACCATCAGTCATCAAGACCTTTGCAGAACGTGTCAGAGATCTTGTAATTCATCCTATGAACGCTCTCTTCCCCTCTTATGTTGGTACATTTGAAAATGCGTACCATGCATGGGAATTGAAAGTGGAACGAAAATCGCTTTCATCTCTAGATAATGCAGCCATCGAGACATTTGATGCTGCAGTAATGAGTATCAAGACTGCCATGCCATACTTAGATCTCAATCTGTACTGGCCATTCGTTGATCGTGCCTCTCACTTTTGGACCCAAAACTATGGCGACCTGCAAGTGAACTTGCCTGGTATCAAAGGTCTAGTGTCTTGCTGTCTCGTCCAGCTGGCTTTAAAGAAAGACAAGAGAACCATCACGTTGGTTGACAGAATTGCGTTACTGCACGTTCGAGAACACACACCAGTGATCCCTTCCAAGATGTCAGACTGGTCAGATAACCAATTCTTGGAAATTTTGACTTTGCTATTCAATGTAGTCAACATGTTGCAGGATCCAGTGAATGTCAAAGATCTGTTTGGGCAATCCTGGATCGACAGAATGGTCCGAATTTTGGCTGAAGGTGGTGCCAGCACAAAAAGAAACAACGCAGAGGGCAAGAAAGGTCCATTGTTTCACAATAGCAAGTCGTTTACTCTCACAACTCAATCAAACGAGCGCCACAAGGCTCATGCTACGTGATCTGTTGGATCAAGCACTCGCAACACTACAAACACAAAGATCTGAGGCATTCAAGATGTTCTTTGATGATACTTGGAAAACGACACCAGAATCATCTGAAGTGAGTGTGTTTGAACAACTGATGTTGCCACACATCCCACCACATGACAAGAGAAAGCAGCGGTTCATCGATAGGCGCTTTGTTGTCATTCGAGACATGCAACAGCGACTAGAATGGCTCAATGGATGTGTGAGTGACGCTTTGAAGTACGCAGTTGAGACCAGACACCACAGACAAGAAGATAAGTTGGTTGAAGTCCTGGATTGGGTGCATAACAAGATTTCGCGTGTTGAATGGTCCAGATTGAACATGACACATCCTACCATCTCGCATCTGAGGCATCTCCTTGACATTTACATGCCTCGCTTGCATCCATTCTGCCAGAGACAAGTGGACGAGTCTCCTGAATCGAATGCAAAGTTTTTGGAGCATCTGACACAAGTCTTGGATGACATGTGGAAGGCAGAACAAGCCACGTTTGGTCAACAAGCAAATGCAATGACAGAGCATTGTACGCGTGTTGTGAAATCTATCTGCAACCTGCGGTTGATCCAAGACTGCAATCTGATCATTGGACATGCAGCTGTGGAAGAGCGCATCCAATCTTATAATCTGTGGCTGGATTGGCTCGTGCAAGTGCGACACTTGGCTGTCGTCAGAAGACAATCTGAGCAGTATGCAGAAGAAAACTTTGTTATGCCAGTGATCAATCAAGCAACGGTGAATGCTGTATTGGATACGATTGCCAAGACAAACAAACATCGTCAAAGGCTACAACCAGTCTGGAGACGGATCTTGCGTGATTTGGTCGAGAAATGGCTCAAGTACTACAAGCAGTACATTTCTCCTGATCAGTACAAGATCATGGAAGGCGATGTGCCATCAGATGTTGACAAGATGACTGAGCGCATCCAGTTCAACACCATCCAAAGGATCCTTCAAATCAGAGTTCTTGTCATGGGGTTTGCCATCATCCATCCCTGCTTGCTTCACGCCTTTCAATCTGTTCACAAGATCTTGGTCTCTGACTACTTGCGCACCAAAAACGTGTATCAAGACTCGATCAAGTTCATCAGAGAGATGAACATGACTGACTACCTTTCCAATCAGATCAAAACACACATGAACTACAATGTGCACCATCATGCGACTCCAAAAGAGATTTACACGACAAAGGACGAGATTGAAGTCTTGGATGCCATCCTTGACTCTTACAAGCAATCGATGCACTTTTTGCTAGAGCAGAAGCTGGTACTGGGTCCTCTGTATGCACCACTGTCACAATCCATCGAACGCTTGGAGTTGATGAAGCTTGTTGGCAAGAAAAGATTAGACCAAAAGAAGACTTTGAGATCCAAGACATTCCAGATTTACAAGACACTGACCAAGGTCTGTCCATCGTTTTTGCGTCTGCATGCAGCATGCCAGTTCATGTTTTCTATGGATCCACACTTTGTCTTGGACACTGTGAGAGAAAACAACTACCCAGAGAGCAAGCTTCTCAGTGGCAAGGGATCCTTTGGTGATGACGTCGCTAATGCCACATTCTTGGTGCCAACTTCAACCAAGATGCTCAAGACAGAGATTCAACTCGAAATTGGGGAGCTTTACCGCAAGATTCTGGAAGATCCGAGAGAAAACTTGATCAGAAGGACAAAAGCAGTCAAAAACTATGCAGACTTGGACACGAGCACTGTAGTGAGACTGTATGATCTTTGGAAAGCCGCCAATGCTCAAAAAGACCCACCACATCCAGATATCAAGAAAGGCATTGCCATGGGTCTCTTGAACAGAGTGGATGAGATATCTGAATCTGTGCCAGTGATCTTTTCACCAGATCTGATCAATGACAGAGATGTCAATGTCTTTTTGATCGACGGACTCACCAGACTCTCAAAGATTGGTGGACGCAAGTTCTTTGAGCTCGTGCAAGACAATGTGTTGAAGAAGTTCAAGACTCTTGGAGTTGCAAGCATGAATGGCATTCTCAGACTCTTGTGCTCTCAAGCAAATGGTACCAAGATGCTTCTTGAGCTCTGGTCCAAGAGGAACGAGTACAGAAAAGATGTGCAAGAGAATCTGATGCGTGCACTTGTTTCACAGCTCAACAATGATCCATCTGAAGAGCTTTGGAGCACTTTGGAAGAAACAGCATCTCATGGAGGCTCTGTTTGCTTTGATTTTGCATTTGTGTCTCCGCCAACCAATCAAACAGACCGACAACGGTACTTGCAAAGTCTCTCACCACCAATACCCAGAGCGCCATTCCCACCAACCCCTTACTTCTTTCAACTGGACAACATTGAAGTCAGCAAAACCTATTTCGCAAGAATTTTCAAGCAATTGGTCAACAAACGCGAAGATCTGGATCAGCAACGACTCAACCACCTTGCCATTCAGCGTATTACTGCATTTGCTAAAATCACTGCTGAAATGGATGATGACATCTATGATGTTCTGGACAAGGAGCTCACAAAGTTGCAGTTGGAAGTCGATCTTGATGCTCCTAATGCCTTCAAAAACGAAGCACCACGTGTCATTGTGGGAAACTTGAAGTTTTTGTCTGAGATTGAAATCTATTTGCGTGAACATGGACAGCTGTGTGTCGAAGCAAGATGTCATTTGCAAAACGTGTTTGGAAAGCACATTGTTGAGTTCTTCAAACTTGGCACCACTCTTGAAACGGATGCTGGAGTCTATACAAACATGAAGAAACTGAACGAGATCCTTCCTCATGCAAGTGACTGGATTTCGCAACTTGGTATTTTGGATGCAAGGTATCATGATTGATTCTAGTGTGGCATTCAGAAAACGAACCACGTACGAGGCAGTCTTTGGTGCTTACGACAATCTCGTCAAAAAGTTGAAATAAACTTTTTCGAGCAGATCTCCCTCAAAATCGCAAAATAAACAACAGAATGCCCAGGGTGACAAAAATATGAAAAATGTCATTGACAGGATTTGAACCTGCAACCTGCCCGTTTCATAAGCATTTGAAGGAGGGTTGCTCTTCCCATTGAGCTACAATGACTTGAAAATCTTTTGACTTTATCAGTCTTTATGTCGATCGGAGTCTTTTTTTGGTGAAAAGTTCCTTAGATTCTCTGTAAATTCGAGCAAAATCTGGCCAGTGATAATCTGAGTGTCATTCACCAGATCTGTGTAGAAACTAGCCAACAGATGCAAAAATACAGCCACCAGATAAGCGATAGGCAGCATAAACGGCCAATTTTGCTGGTTTGTGCAATACAGAATCAACAATTGTGCAGGCGAAAACCAGCAAAAGATGAGTAGAGATGACTTTGATGGATTCCAGGGAGAGATCATCCACTTTTTCTCAATACGTGAGCCATCTTGAGAGAGATCGAGTTCGACCAAACGCGCATTTCGTGATTTGACAACGATCTGGTCCATTTCGTATCTCTTTTGTGTTGGTTGTTTGAGTAGGATTATCGGTTTGTGCTTTAGAAACAGATGAACGGTATTGGCAACAGAAACAAAAAACAGAACGCCTTCTTCCCATTGCAGTGTCATGTGTGGAAAGATGATCATTTGTGGATCGTCGAGAACACCGTCTCTGTAGTATTTGATGGCGAGGTAGAGCACATTCAGAATAATCGCAGAAAATGGTCCCAACTGATCTAAAAAGTGTAGTATGTCTAGTTCAACCACAAACTCGTGTATTGAATGCCACCAGTAGTAGAAATTAGTTTCGATCTGTTCCAGAAGCGAAGACATTTTGCAAAAGAAATTTCAAGAGAGCTGCAAAGCTTTGGACTGCTCACTCTCCGGTTTTCAGTGTCGCTAACTGACAGATTTGAAGTAATATACCTCTGTCTGACGGGTATGATTTCATTGCTATGGGAAACCGCGACTAAAGTTGATGTCAACGAATCTGGGCGGAGGTTGGACGTATCCTAGTGCGGTACTGCATGGTACATCTACTCACATCTGGCATTGCCATCCATGAGTGGCTGTCTTGCTTCAATCTTTTGATGGTGAAGCTCTATCACGATAGAAAGCAGCTACGGATGCCACTCTTCCAGATGTGCTGTCTGATTCTGGTGAGTGTTGCTATTCAGACAATAGGCCTTGGAAATGTGGTTGACTAGTATTCATCGCCTTTTCCAATCAACGGAGACTCATCCAAGGAAGCTGCTAGCAGATGGATAGCAGGTCTCAACAAAGTCACCAATATCTTTGCCATACTGTCTGATGTCCTCATTTTGGTTGTGCTGTGCTATAGAATTCACGCGTTTTATGGCTCTCGTTCATGGACATTTCGTGTGTTCTTTTCGGCTATTGCCATCATTAGACATGTTAGCATGATAGGTGTTGGATTTGTGATGTTCGATGCTGGGTTTGATTACTCGAGTCATCCACTGTTTCCACTCTACATGCTCACAAGTGTGGTATCTTACTGTCTAGATGCCTTTCTCAACATTGCTGGTGCTTGTATCTTCCTGTATCGCATTGGAAGTGCCTTGGGCCTCAACAATTGGCAACTAGTGAGCGAAATCATCTCACATCACAAAGGGCCACGGTATTCAAGATGATCATAGTTACATGATTCATTGGGCTCAACTGCTTCCTTGTCTACTGCATGGCATTTGATGTCATCACACTGTCTCAAGATCAAGTCACTGCCTGTGTTTGTGATTGCATTGATGTTAGATCATGGACTTTCATGGATAGCACTAGCAGAAACCTATGTCTTTTTAGAATCATCCTATTGTGCAGCTGCTGATATCATGAACAAGCACTCTAAAGCTCAAAAGCGACTGCAGGATCTGACTACTGGTGTTCAGATGGCAGATGCCAAGTCCTCTGGAGTAGAGTCAGCAGATTCCAAGTCTGTGAGAAATGATGTGACCAAAGCAGCGTTGGACTAAAGACTATTTACTGAACTGAGATTGATACCAGTCGTCCAGCTTATCTAACAACTGCTTGGCTGCTTGTTGCCACCCTACATCCATCATGACATTGTGTCCACACTTGTCTGCCCAGATGATTGGACTGCCATAGTCTGAAGCACACTTTTTGACAACAGACTCAGTCATCAAGACATCCTGTTTGCCACCAACAACCCAGATTCTGTACTTTTTCACTCGTTCGAGATTCACGTAGCGAGAGGTCATGGACATGGGTGCCAACACAGATTCACTCTTTTCTAGCTTCTGATGGAATACTTGTGCTTGATCATCTGGAAATTCCTTTGTCAGAAAGACTTCCTTTGCCAGATCTGGATTGGAAAGTGGCAGATAAGGATTCAGAAGCAGCATTCCGATGAACAATGGAAGAAATCTCGTGGATGCCCAGTTGATCATGATTTGCATGCCTCCGCTGCCTGGAAAGGGACACACAAGCACAGCCAACGGACACTTTGGTTGAAACAAGTCCAGATACTTTTGAGTGACACCAGTTCCAGCAGAGTGACCGATAATGATGGGATGCTCCAGGTTCTTGGACAAGAACTGGTCTTGCACCACATCTCTCACATCTTGTGCCCACTGCGACAGAGAATAGAACCAGGAACTACCAGATGTGGTCTTTCCATGTCCACGCAGACTGATAGCCATCGTCTGGTATCCATTCTTTGCAAAATACTGCATCCAGAGCTCCCAACACCAAGCAGCATGAAATCCACCGTGAACGAACAAGATGGACTGTTTTTGGTTTTTGGCTGGATAGTGCAACACTTGGATATCAAATCCACTTGAAGATTTGACAAACACTTCTTGCATCAGTTGGAAAGATGATTTTTGTGCCAGCATCCAAAATAGCATCCATCGTTGGATTGAGCAAGTTTGGGACCCCTGAATCTGTCATGAAAGAGCTTCTAGAGAGATATCGACCGCAATTCAACTACGAAAACCCAGTATTGCGGAGTGTGATGGAGGATTTGGACCACAGACCAGTTAAATCGAGTGGCATGGCTCAAGACCTACTCAGAAAGACTGAAAGGAGACTAGGAACACTGCTTCCGAAATCAGAGCTCTTGGAAGCAACAAAAATGGTCCAGGACAGTCTTTACAAGCGATTTGGAGCAAGTAACGAACATGCAACGATAGAATACTATGCCAGCAGTGGGAGAATCTTGCATCTGTCAAAGCAAGTCTACCATCTATCACTTGGAAGATTCCAGAAAAACGATTTCTCAATATCTGGCAAAATAGATGCGCTAGAAGAAGAGAATGGCAGAATGATTGTGATTGAAGCCAAGAACAGAGTGCACAGGCTGTTACGTCGTATTCCTTTAGCAGAAAATGTACAGATACAAGCCTATCTGCAAATGACCAAACTAGAGACTGGGAGATTGGTGCAACAGTATCAAGACACACTGTCTGTGCATCAGATTGAGAGAGATGATCTGTTTTGGGATGCCGTCATCTATCCAAAAGTCCAAGAGTTTTGTCAAGAGTTTGAGAAGGAATTGGATAGAAACCAGTAGGTTCTGGGTTTATTGGTGGACACGAATAATGCTCGACAGGTCGTTTGGATCGTTGTAGACTTTCTTGCTCTTGATGACATTTCTGGCAACATCCAAGTGATCAGGAATATTCCAAAGCAAGACACCATTCACTCGCTTCTCCTTGTCCAGATAATAAACAACACCTCTGCCGTGCTCTTCCTTGGCTCCTGGCTGTGCTCCTTTCTTCATGGCCCAGATAGAAACAGTCTGTGCCTTGCTGTCAAGCAATCCAACAGCTTCATAGCTCACTTCTGGACCAAGATTGGACCAGAACATGGACTGATACGTGTATGGCTGCTTGGCACCCACCATGTTCAAACCAGCAAGTCTGCCACTTTCAGCAGCATGATCATAGTGCTCCACTCGACGACGGCCAAGTGCAATATCGTGGTAACTACAGACATCACCAGCAGCAAAGACATCTGAACGCGCCTCCAACTCTGCATTGACTATCATGATCCAAAATACCAACAATACCACCACGCACATTGTCAATCTCAAGACCAGATGCCTTGGCAAGCTTTGTGTTTGGTTCCAAACCAACAGCAACAACAACATGATCAGCTTCCACAGTCTGATCATCATTCAACTGAAGCACGAGCTTGTCTTCAGCAGTAGTAACGCCAAGGACTTCGCTGTCAGATTTGACTTGGACACCTTCCTTTTGAACACGAGACATGGTCCACTTGCTCAAATACGTTGGCATGATCAAAGACATGTTTCCTTTTTCTGGAAACACCTGAATGACATTAACACCCTTCTTTTGTGCAAGCGCAGTCGAAAGTTCACTTCCAAGGAATCCACCACCAATCACAGCAATCGTCTTTCCAGGCTGAGCCACTTGCTTCAGATTCAGATAATCATCCAGAGTTCTGAAAGTCGTGACTTTTTGCTTGGCTTCCTTTGGCAGCTTGTCCATGAAACCAAGTTTCTTTGGAGTGCCACCAGTAGCCAGCAAAAGCTTGGAGTATTCGATTCTCTTGCCGCCAATCATGATCATCTTTTGCTCAGTGTCGATCCTGTTCACTTGTGCGTTCTTCAAGAAAAGTGGCTTAGATGATGGTTTGGAAAGCACAGATTCCAACTGCTTGAGTTCAAAGACTTCAAAATTGGACTGTGGAGTGTAAAAGATGCTGGTTTGAAATCAAATACCTCTTGGTCTTGCCCTGCCAGTCCTTGAACTGCAGATCCTTGGATTCACCAAACCACAGCTCCTTGGAGAGTGGAGGTCTTTCGTAGGGCACATGATCCTGGTCAGTGATCATCAACACACGAGCATCTGGCTGTTTTTCCCTGATGGCTTGCAAACAGGCATAACCAGCAGTACCAGCACCGACAATCACATATTCTGCATAGTTTTGCTTGTCTTTGGGCTGCCATGGCTTTGTTTCCACTTTTTGTTCCACCTTTTGAGGTCTGATCAAATAGTACGCTGGACCGAGTGCCAAAAGAGCACCAATAAGCAAGATCCTACCAGCAGTGCTAGGAGTGCGCTGTGTCGACTGAAAGCGCTTGAACGTGGGTCTCACGACTCTCGAGAACATGGCAAGTTTTTTTGC